TCTTGATGCTTTGCTGGCGGACTTCTGGCGCCGCCAGCAGAACATCATGAGAAGCTTCAATTGAAATTCTTGTCCCCCCCCCCCCCGAGCTCCAACTTGGTTTTGGGCTTCTGCACATGAAGACTCTTCTTTGCTTTGTCCTCCTTGCTACGTTCCATCCTGCAATATATGCTTTCAGATCAGCCTGGTGCTCTGTTCGCTTCGGCCCCTGTATCGTCCAAAAAATTCCTGAGATCTTGTTTTGGATTATCATGCTTGTCGTGCTTCCTGTTGCTTTCGTCTTCTTCTGCCCGTTTTAGCTGCGCACTTATCAAGGTGCAAAACCTTGTGCAGTCAATCAAGCAGTAAAGAGACGTTCATTGAGCTTAGCAGTTTACACCTGCGATGCATGCAACAAGACTGCTTCACCTGCCGCTCTTGCACTTGCCCACAACGAGGCAAGTCCTTCCTGCAGAGCTTGCGCACTTCTCACAACTTGCAACCTGTCCGTCTTCAACTGATAGCTGGTCCCGTACAGCGCGTGCGGAAGGCGCGAGAGGCTCTGTATCTCTTCTTGTTCTGCCTCTGGACATGCCACTTCAAAACACCGCTTACATTCCGTAATATTCTAGTTAGCAGGGATGAAGGCCTCCAAACCAGTCTCTTCGGCGACGACTTGTTCGTCTCGGATGGCATCCTGCAGATCATAATGCCAGCCGCTGAGCTGGAATGCTTCTTGTTGGCAGCTGCCCATGTTGCCTTTGCATCTGGCGAAGTCGGCCGCTCCACCTCGAGCTCTTTGCCTTGCTCCAGACTGGAGAAATGCTCACCCCGACGACTGCCGCAGTTGCTTGCACATGAAGTATGCAGCAGAGGTATCAGCGGCGTGTCCTTTCTTTGTCTTTCTTGTCTTGATGTTGAGAGCTGGCCTTGGCGTCTCCAGCAGTGGCTACAGCAGCTGCATACTGTGAGGCATTAGCATCAAACCTTCCGCACAGTTTAGGATGCAGGCATCACGGCCTACAGCCTCTTTGATTTTGCCAACCTGCACGACATCCCGGCCGTCGTTCTGCACTTGCTCAATACTGTGGAAAGTAAATTGCCGAAGCCTTGATCAAGACAGAATTATTCATCTCAACCACTCTCTCAGGCATGACTGGTGCACCCAGAGGCCTGAAGTTTGGCGATGAACAAATAAGCACTTCCAAACACTTTGGAAAGTTGAGTGATGTTGAGTGTCGCACTTGTAGCCATCACTATGTTTACAAGCGAAGCCTTCAGATCGTCCCCGAGCCTAAGTGCCATGATGTGCTAGGGGGCTGCGCATCAACAAGTGCGATTGGCAGCACACACAGCTCGGCAAGCAGCACGAGATGATGCGGCAGAGTTTTTGCGATCCAACCTGAAGGCGCTGTCAATTGAATCAGGCAAGCAGTTGCATGGGGCCGCTTCAGCGTCTTGCTCCACACGACCGTGTCATGGAAAGCTGCGTCTGAAGATTCACGGGCAAGCATGAAAGAGGCGCATGGGTCCTGTCCAAGCTTGTTGACTCGCTGGGGCTCACTTCAAAAGCACCAACTTGTTTGGCTCAGCTTCAGCTACAATGGCAACATTAGACAGTGCGCCCTGGCTTGTTATTGAAAATGCCGCATTGGTGCCTGAATTCTAATATTTTGGTGACTCGGCTGGAAAAACACAAAACGTGAAAAAAACCCTGGCGTCCTTCACAATCACTTGCACGAATGCCTGCCTGTTTACCTCTGTAATTTTTGGGGCGTGCCTTGGGGCGTGCCTTGCCAGCTTGCCTCCCATCATAACTCAGAAAACTCTGGGTGCTTGACTTGTTGCCCCACTTCCTATAATTTCACGTACATTATTACAAGTGTGAACAAAATGCCTTCGTCCTACAGTTGGTCTGAACAATGCTGTAGCTGACGACACATATACCGAGCAGCAGCACGCACACGACTGACCCGACGGGGAATGTAAGCACTGGCCAAGGCAAGCAGAATTCGGTGAGCATCGGCACAGGGATAAGGCCAGCACAGACCAGCAGAATGAGCCTTGCAGTGGCATGCACTCGCACAAGTCTATATCTCGCACACATTGCAACCAAATGTGGCAACGAGTGCTTGGCAACTGTCTCTGATCGATGCAACCTTGGGGGAACCAAGACCCTAGACAACGAGAGCATCAGCAGCAGCAGCAGCAGATAGCAGCAAATAGCAGGAGCAGCACACTAGCCGCTAGCCTGGGCCTCGTACGTGAAGCCAGTGCCCGCGCGTTCAGCCACTAACATGCCAGAAGTTGCAGACAACATCACAACCTGACGGGAAAATGGTATATGTAGGTGGTGCCACTGTAAAAATCGCCCAACCGGAGACTCATTGAGGATCTGGCTGCCCAGTGTATGAGTCCACTACGCGCAACGGACCAGCAGAAGAAACTGCCATCAGTCCGCTGCCGTCCCACCCGGCCCGAACAACCGGCAATTTGAACCTCTTATGCACGCCCAGGCCCAGCCAATACATGGGAGGACCGCCGGCCGAGCGTTGAAACATATTTGCCAGGCATGGTTTGCTTGTTTTTTCGCCGCTGGCGCATCTCCAACAATTTCAAGTTCATGCTGTTCGCTTTGCGAAGCAGCTCTATGCGGAACTGTTCCCTTTTGGGATTATCCGGCCAAGAAGTAAGAAGAACCATGTCTGCTGCACAGACGAAACCAAACGTTGCTGGAGCAATGGCAGGGCTCTCAACTGTTGAGAGTGTATGTCCGTTCAATCTCTCCAGGAAGCTGCCGCTGCCTGGCGCACATATGCACAAATGAAACAGCGTTACAATCCAAATCCCTGGCCTGATTGGAACGAAGCCTGGTATCTCGTAGCAAGCTACATCGCCTTACAGCTCTACGACGAAGCACGGACACTTTCCCACTTCCGAGACCGTGAAATTAAGGCTGCCACGCAGTGGCTGGACATTTCCAGCAGGAAGCCCGGACAAAGTCTCGGACAGCCTTGGTGGGCGGCTTGTTGGTGCAAACCCTGCTGGTCTGCAATATTGTCGTGCTGGCCTGTGAAGCTCTGCATCTCGATGTCGGGAGATTGCAGGGTTCATCCTTGAAACCAAACTTCATCCCATCCGTGGTTTCAAAACTCGCTTAGTGAATGCTGGACGTGATGCCAGCAAAGCCAGCTCTGCACAATCCCCAACGGGACAAATGGCCAAAGAATGCAATGCGGGCCTGCTTACGAGTATCTGAGGAGGTCACGCCATGCCATTGATGATGTTGTAGCGGTTTGTTAGCCCATTCACCTCATGCAAGCATGGTTTCCGAAGCTGCACAGGAAGTTCCCGCCGCCTGGGTCAACCAGTGCCCACGATCACATTGTTTCGGTGGCGCCGTCGGTTGCTTGCCGGTAGCAAAGACCTTCCACCGAAGCCATCGAAATTCATGCGGAAATCCGACGCACTGTTGACAACCCCGCACCAGAAGCCTTACCGTTGATGTCGTACGTGGCAGCGCGGACAGCCAGCAACTGTGCATATCACAGCCCGTCTGCGAACACGGCGTTGTCATGTTGCGATGAGGCACGTGGCCTTCTCTTGCCTTGTTAATGACCTTAAGAAATGTTCAGCGGTAAGTAGATGAGCTCGCATCAAAGTAAGGGCCGCGCATATCTCCTGTGAAGTGATCCAACAATCGGGCACTTCGTTGCAGGCTTTCTTCCTTCAAGATTACTAGCGTGAAACATAATTGCGTGGTCAAGCCGTCTGGGTTCCATGTGGTCAAACGAAACAACATCAGCAGTCTCCTGCAGGCCACGCCTTTGATCCCACATGACACGCTGCGCCACCTGGAATATCCAGTGCTTGAAATATTGACATCTCCCGGCATAGTGTGCCTCGTGCCGATGGTCATGCACAACATGGTCTGCGTTGAGAAAATGGTACTGCCCACTGCCACCTCGCAAGGTCATACTTAAAGGGTCTCCAACACATTGCCTTCGTCCACGTGCATAAGCTGGGCTCTGTGCGGGCCGCCACCCAACGAGCACCAGCTGGAAGACAGGTTGCACCAGCTGGCAAGATATTTGGCCTCGAAATGGAATAAGCGTCAGGTCGAGCAAAGTTTGAGGACCAAAGTCTCGGTTTGTTGGGTTGATTTATTGTGCCAACACCGTTGCACATCGAATAAACCAGCGAATTGCGTTGGAAGCGTTTCTTGTCTGAAACCTCTTCACAGATCGTCTGGCTACAGATACCATTCAGATTTTGCAAGGCGTACTGAAACGTTTCAAGTGCGTATGTGCTAGTTACAGCTCCATCCTACGGTTGGCACATTGGATAAATCGGCAATTGTTCGCCAAGCTCATTCACCGCTGAACAAACTGACGTTACAGTGCGGTAAGCAGGTCCATGTGATTTGACGAATGCATGCAGTTCAGTCGACATCAGCGCCCGACATTGATCGTGAAGATGACATCTGTGCATCTGTCCTGGTCACAACGCATGTACATGCATGTGCAATATGTAAGGACGCTTGCGGAGTTCAGGCCTTGCCATTATGTCAATGACGCCACCCAATGCACACAACAAAGACAAGCTGCTGATTGAATGACTGCATCAAATTTGTGCGTTCCATCCGAAACTACTGTCTTTCAATGCTTGAAGTATGCACGCTCTTGTGGTCAACAGGATCGAAGCCTCGCATGTGCTGCTCTCTATGACAGACCTTGATCCCTTGCCGAAGTCAAGCTACACCTCCAACAACATGAAAGGCGAAGAAATCTGCCTAAAAATTTGCTTTGGAGGCACGCGCGATTATCCGGCAACAGACAACCCTGGACCTGTTTTGAGGAACAAAGGGCACGTTTGCGCCGAGCCGGCAAATGTTCAATGCCTTGCTTGTGCTTGAACACGGACCATGGAAAAATGCGTACGTCGCGCATTTAAGACGTTGAAAACTCGTGTGCTTGCCATGCACACGAGCAGAATCTAGTCGAGATCTACCATTGACACTGCCAACAGACAGCGAATCATGCCAGAGCTTTCCATCATTGAATATAGATGCCAGGTGGCCATGAACCGTAAAAGCCGATTTTTGTCCCCGCCGTTGTTTTTGCGGCTGCATGGCTGGTCCACCGATCCTAGACCTCCCTCGAGCTGAGAGTCAAACATCCAAGCATGGCCGCTGCCACGCAGCTTAATTTCAGTCGGTTGTCCTCCGGGTCAAAGTTCTCCCAAGAGGGGATCTTGGTGTCAAGCAGCGTACACGCATGCGTGCCATGCGCCTAGTGGGGCGAGGATGCCAGTAGGCGCACCATGCCGCTCTTTGTTGCCCGGTCGATACAATCAACACCTTTAAAAATGGGCACCTGCTTTGACGGAAGCACCCGCCCGCCTGGAATCCAAAAACGAACAATTTGCACCATCGAGCAAATGTCAAAAAGGGGGAGCAGACGGGGGGGGCAACGGCCCCCAGAACCTGCACCGGACCAGGATGCGGCACTCAGCATCTGGAACCGAAGTGGCAAAACTCGTGGGGGAAGCCGTGAACGCTGCTCGCCGCCTCCCTGGAACACCCGCAGCACCCCACGCGCAGATGAGGTGCCAGGCAGCGCGTCTGCATCATCAGCGTTGCTGAGAGCGAGCTGAGCTGCCGTAACTGGTCCATCCTCCCCGTCCGACACCAGCGTTGCCAGGCATTGGGGAATCGTTGTCATGCTGCATTGCACGGGGCTCGGTATTGGCAGGAGGGAAGGTGCAATGGGGTGCCCCGCAATACAAAAGCAGGAGCCAAGCACTATGTAGGTGACGGACGTTCGGGCTGTTCGGGATCCTGCTTGACAAGCAGCCTTGGTCGCGCAAGGGTTGGTCCGGCTTTGCGGCTACGAACTCCGGAGCACCGAGGGCTGCCTACCGGCACAATCCTGTGCTGTGCCAGCGGCAATGCCCAGCTGTCCATCCAACAAGGGTTGAAGGGGTATTCAAACGGCAATTCCAACAGCCATGGTTGTTCCTCGCCCTGTTCCACACGCAAATCGTGCCGATGTGCACTTGGATGCTGGCATGCTACAGCAAACTCGACGGCAAGTCCACTGAGGTGCACAGTGTCTCTGAAGGGGTGGAGATTGCGATTGATCAGAAGACAACATGTTGTACATTTTCACACGACACACCGCGTGTGTTGCTACCGCACAACCATATGCAACCATGCCATGCGAACACAACACGCGCAACCCTTTTCACAACAAGCTGTGCGTTTGCACAATTTCTCATCGTGTTTGAAAAGTTGGCGAAAACGCACGAAATTTGTTTGATGCTAACTTGATTTTCTAGCACCCTTGCTTTCAATATTTTGCGAAAGCTGGCCACACGTGCGTGGAGAAAAGGTAAAAATGTGGGTCTATGTCAAGACACCACCGGCCTAGCTTCAAGTCAGACATTGCCGTATTGTCCAACGTTTGCTGTCCAAGTTTTGCAGCTTTTGCACTGGCACAAAATTCGAAGCGCGCGTCTTTAATCCGAGGGCCCCGCGTGGCTGGGTTTGCGTGGTATACTTTCAATTCAAGGCTGGTCGGTCGTTCATGCTGGTGGTCACCGCGCAGGCGTTTGCCAGCTCGCTGCTAGAGTTGCCCATCGAGGGGGATGTGCTGCGTCGAGGGTGTCGACACGGACTTGCATGAGGCTATTGCTGATGCTGCAGAGCGGGACCAGCAATGAGATCAAACGGAGAGAGGTGCGAGGAAAAAAAAAGGCTGGTGGACTGAAATACGAAGCGTGTCTGAACAGCCAATGCCGGAATGTCACGCTGTACTATACCCTCATAACAGGGTGCAGAAGACAATCGTTTTGCAGCTGACGGCCTCCACCGCTGTCACCGCGGTGGTCTGTAGAAGTCAACTGCGAGCCACACTGCGGAGGGTGGCAGCGGTGAGAATTTTGCAAGGCTATGCAACAGTCCCAAAATCCCCAAGGAAAGGCCGACAATCAGCATGCAGACTTGGTTTACTGGCAGGCCTTTAGATTTCCATCAGAATTTAAGCCCAAACCTTACAAGAGAGGCCCACACTGAGCTTTCCGGACCTGATGTTTTTTTTTGCGCGCAACTTTTTCCGATCTGAGGCGCGGTCCCTGTGCTGTCAACACGGGTTGCACGGTGGCTTTAGTGGGGGCCCTGCCTGCTGGCAGGGACGGGGAGCTGCCAGCGCACGTCGGCCAAGACTTCGTGCAGCTCGGGCGCTTCCCCTGCGACGTTGCACTCCCCCGCCAGCGGGGGCTCCAACAGCGAGGCCGCGAAGGCGCTGTGCACTGCAACCGCAAAGAGCCCAGACCATCGCGCGACCCACGCGGATTGTGCTGCGGGCCGCATGGGCGCGGGGGCGGAAGATGCCCTGTGGCGCGCGAGCAAGCGCAGCCAGGTGGCGGCTTCGGCTCCGAATCGGCCCCCAACCTCGACCCCAACGACCACCAAGCGGCAGCGACGGGCTCGGGGTACGTTTGGCGCCGTTTGCGGCGGGCTGCTCCAAGGAGCGCCCGGCCTGGCTGGACGTCTGCCCCACGGTGCGCCTCCCCGTTGCGGGTGACCGGGCTGACGATGGCTTATTTGGATTTTATTAGTTTATGATTACCAATCAGTTTTCAGACCTGGCATATACGTAATTATGGGAAAAGAAACACAGTGCTTGTGTGCAATCGCCAAAGTTTTCGGTTGCGCAGTGCTTGCCTAACTACCTACCTCCCCCCCATCGGAAATTTCGCAGGACTTTCACCTCCCCTAGGTCGTAATCCGTTTCAGCGTTGAACTTGAAACCGATGCAGCCTTGTAAGTGGGGGGGGGGAGGGGGTGACACCCCCCCCCTTCAGGAAGAGGGTGGTGATAACCCAACAGCAGTAGTGTTGTTTGCCATGACGAAGCTCTTAGTCGCATTCGCCAGAAAAAACCAACCAACAAAGGCAAAGAAAAGAAGAAACAGTCCTTAGCTGTGGGCAAAGCCCAAGCCAATGGCGAGCCTGAAGCAGGCAGGAGAACCTAAGCGATGAGGCTCAGGGAAGCTAGGCCGTGGCAAGCCCGGCCGACAGCCCGACAGCTCAGGCACTAAAAGCCGTCGGGAATCTAGCACGCCACAGCTGCTGTACCTTAGCAGCCATACCATGCACATGTG